AAAAAAAACCAACCCCCCTTCCCTAAAAAAAATTCCACGAACTCCTACAAGTCTTGCTTTCACCAAAGAGACAGACACCAGTTTCTGTGAAGCTCAGCTAAAAAAAGTGCATTAAACTCAGTAAAATGGCTAAAACAAAGTTTATGTGAAGCTTAGTCAGCACTCAACAAAAACAAGAAGGGGCATGTGATGTGAAACTTGCAGTCAAAGTTAAGGAATCACCTTGTGTGACGCCACTTGTTTAGCAAGATTACCAGCTCCATTTAACCAATTACAAATGACGGCGATCATCTTGCTTGTTGGCACAGACCCCAGACCCGGTCTTATTCTTTGCCACAAGCTTCAGAGTACCTTTATCTTCCCTCCTTTGGCCACATTAGTTTACAAGGCATTGAGTCAACCAACGACACATAAAAAAGCACAAGCTGCAAAACCTACGGCCGGCCGGCGATCGCTGGTTGAGAAGAGTAGACGGCCCGCAACGGGACCCAACCCCCAACCTATCATTCTCACATCCACTGTAGCTCATATGACTTCTGACTTGAGACTAGGTTTGCTCCCAGTAGGTGACGCAGGACCCCGCACCCGAAGTGCGTATATATGAGGTGACCCCGCGCGTCCCTGTTGCGCCTCAGTCGTCCCAACACTCAACCTAGGAAGAAGAAGAGGAGGGACGCTAAGTTGCAGCCACCAAATCGGCGATCCTGGGAGGGAAGATGGCGTTCAGCATCACCAGGAAAGAGATCGAGGGGTTCTGGAGGAGGAAGGAGGAGGAGCGCCGCCTTGCCGCCGAGAAGGAGGCCGCCAGAGCCAAAGCCAAGACGCTCAAGGTCAGACCCCTGCTTTTGTTCAACTGTAACTTCTTTCTCCATTATCTGTTCAAGAAGGCAACAAAAAAGCTCTGTTATATCATTTCTCTTATTTGTTGCGATCATGAAACTTCTGGCTTTGATTTTGAAAGGCATCTAGTTAACACTGTTTTGGAGAATTTTTGGAAAGCAGATGGAGGATTATATGCTGTTCGAGCAAATGATAAGGGAGATTCTCGAGGAGGGGAACGAAGGTGACAAGGGCATCAACGACAACAGAATGATGGTGGCAGCTTCCAGCAGGGTCGCCGAATTACGGATTGGGATCAAGCACTGGTAACCCCTTCTCACAAGACAACTTTCCTGTAGCAATTCTAGCACCGAGAGTGCGACCTTTTTCTCTTCTGATGAAAAGTACTTTCAGCCAATTTTTTCTGAAACTGTATACTGGTATAGCCAGTGCGATGTGGAAAACAATCTGTATCCCACCCCATCCATCCAATCCTTTCCCGTAGTTGGAAGCCCTGTCACAGCTCACAATGCCGTACTAGTAGCACAATAACGTATGGCCAAGAAGCATACGACATAGGTGGTGGAAAACAAAAGGCATTACGGGCCATACTCATACTACAAGCAAGCATACACGCTAGCTAAAATTTATTTCTGGTGGAATCTATCTTCTTACACATGCTTAGCGTCCACGGAGAAGCTTCTTAGTGCCATATTTAATTAGGCGGTGGTACAAATTTGTGGATTATGATATGACAGACCCGCCATCTTCTCCGACTGGGTGCAGGTGGAAGAAAAGCACCTATGCTTATCTGAATGAGCCGGCAGTGACGGCATCGATGGATGACAAGGGAAGAAACAGACGCGCCGTCACTTATATTCCGCAGGACAGATGCCTCAAAGCCCGCTCGTCGATTCCTGCTTCATTTGTCATCTTTTAGGTGCTCTGTATTCATTCATGACGGAACAAGCTGAGGCATATCTATATGTATATATGCATCAGCTGTTGTGACAAGGACGGAATAATTTATGTTGTGTATAAGTTTGTCTGAATGCTGTACTTATATCAAATTATTAAGTGGAAGACCGTGTTGCTTGGTGCATTGCGTCAATTTTTTATCTTACTTTTTGGTCTGGTGATTGGTGTGTGGTTTAACCACAACAAAAGTGAAAGTAATGCATGCGCTGACAGTCACTTGGCTGCTTCTTAAACTGCCATCACCCGAAAATTTAAAACTGCAATCGTCCTGGGTGCAAAAGATAAAATTAAATGCCCAACAATGCCCTGAGCAACAAGGTTTTCCACTGAATTTGATGAGTGGAGTGGCGGTGTGCTAGACCATGGATGGCGGTAGCACCGGGAGCATGACGAAGGTGAGATAGACATGGGTGAGGAAGAAGGTGAGATTTTAGTTCATAATAGACCCGGGCATTCATTGATATGTCCAGTTTTAAAAAGCCTGACCCCAGACTCCGGAGTTCGCGTGGAAGAACTAAAATAGAGAAAGGTCTGTCTAGGTCACATTTAGATGTGCTCTAGTCATTGCACATTTAAATGACTCAATCAACTTAGAAAAATAAAATAAATAAAAGCATGGTGTTCCACCCGCACGTGTACTGTCGGACAACACCCTCATCTACTGTCGAACGAACAAGTGCATCGGGCAGCTGTGCTGGTCATCAACAATGAGCATGTGGCGCACGAACTAGTCGAAATCAGCTCTGAACTGACTCCTTTTGGTGTACTAGCAAGGTGCCCGTGCTACGCTAGGGAAGCATGAAAATGAGCTGGGGCATGATCTACTTAGGATAGATATGATGTCCAGCCATACCGGAAGAACATTAGATTGTTTAGAATCTAGCAAGTGATAAATTAAGGCATGCATTGCTCAATCTCAACCTCCCCGAACTTACAGAAATGTTGCCTTAATTTATTTCCAAGCCGACTTGATTGTGCAGCACCTTAAGTCCAACCTGATACTGCATCCAATGAAACAGAGTAAATCCTTGGAGATTGAAGGAACAGAACAAACAAAGAAGAAACTAATTTGATTGATCATCTGAGCAGTCAGATGGTTTATGTATAATATATTCATATTTTCACATACTTGCACACAGTATATCTGCTAAACAAGAAACAAACAAGCAAAAGTCTGAAATGCATAGCATAGCCATATATAAAAAGATCCACTTAAATACTCAGTGCTCCTAACCAATTACTGCATATTACTCTTACTAGTTGTTCCAAAAGAAATGGTGAATGGCCTACATTATGAAATCAATTAGTCAGTAGCAGGTAAATATTTGTGCCTAGGTTAATCCGTTGTTTTTGTCAAAAACCACAGAAGAGCACCACTTCTATGGCAAGCGAGTAACAAATCACATTAATCCGAAGGTTAACTTGGTATAACAGCACAACTAACCGGTTTGACCCATCTCTTAGACTTACATGGCACGCCTATGTGCACAATGTGTTGAGGTGGCCAGGGGTCCCACTTGTCAGCCTCACATACTTTCCTCTTTGTTCTCTTCCTACCCCTCTGGCTTCCCGGTCCTTCCCGCCGGCGCTGCTGCAATCAGCTCCGGTGAGAACAACTCTCAACATGTGCCACTGCCGCTCTGCTTCTGCTGCCGCTTGTCGGCGGCGCAGATGGCCCTCCGACGCCATGGTCCACTTGGTCAGCTGCAGTGCGCGCCTGGCCGTCTCCTGTCACCCGTGCCACGGTTCCCACGTCATCCGAGCAGGTTGCCATCGTCTTGTCCACCGCTTTCACTCGCACTACCCTGAGCTAGCGGTTGAGGGCCAGATGCCAATGGAACTCAAGGGAGGCTGCTGCTCAACATGCGTCCGTGAAGGCCGGGCCATGGCGGTGGTGGACGACGCGGGAAGGATGTCGGTAGTGAGGAAGGATAGGGTGGTCGCGCGTGTGTGATCTCGTCGAAGCATCGAGCAGAGAGCACCGCGTGTCGGGAGCGAAGACCCCGTGTCCCCCAATGCATGTGGTTCGGGTGGTGACTTTATTGGCAATGCACCACGGATTAGGGAACGGGCTTGACCGCCGCGATCAGATCCAGGCAGGGTGTGCCTGTCCACGGAGGAGACTCTGCTAATAATTGGGACCTGGCCTTCCGGCACTCGCTGTCCCCTGTAGAGTTGGAAGACCGGCGGCGGCTTACTGCCTTCTTCCCCATGCTTTCGGAGACGCCCGACACGGTAGTCTGGCCCCATGCTTCCTCTGGTCGTTTTTCTATTAAGTCTTTATACTCTAAGCTTATTGGTGGCGTCCCTAAAGGAAACATGCCCTAGAGGCAATAATAAAGTTGTTATTTATATTTTCTTATATCATGATAAATATTTATTATTCATACTAGAATTGTATCAACCGGAAACTTAGTACTTGTGTGAATACATAGACAAAACAAAGTGTCCCTAGTATGGCTCTACTTGACTAGCTCGTTAATCCAAGATGGTTAAGTTACTCCACCGTAGACATGTTGTCATTTGATGAACGGGATCACATCATTAGAGAATGATGTGATGGACAAGACCCATCCGTTAGCTTAGCATTATGACCGTTTAGTTTTATTGCTATTGCTTTCTTCATGACTTATACATGTTCCCCTGACTATGAGATTATGCAACTCCCGAATACCAGAGGAACACTTTGTGTGCTATCAAACGTCACAATGTAACTGGATGATTATAAATATGCTCTATAGGTGTCTCCGATGGTGTTTGTTGAGTTGGCATAAGTCAAGATTAGGATTTGTCACAACGAGTATCAGAGAGGTATTTCTGGGTCCTCTCGGTAATGCACATCACTATAAAGCCTTGCAAGCAATGTAACTAATGAGTTAGTTACGGGATAATGCATTACAGAACAAGTAAAGAGACTTGCCGGTAATGAGATTGAACTAGGTATGATGATACCGACGATCGAATCTCGGGCAAGTAACATACCGATGACAAAGGGAATAATGTATGTTGTTATGCGGTTTGACCGATAAAGATCTTCATATAATACGTAGGAGACAATATGAGCATCCAGGTTCCGCTATTGGTTATTGACCGGAGATGTGTCTCGGTCATGTCTACATAGTTCTCGAACCCGTAGGGTCCGCACGCTTAACGTTCGATGACGACTTGTATTATGAGTTATGTGTTTTGGAGAACGAAGTTTGTTCGGAGTCCCAGATGAGATCACGGACATGAAGAGGAGTCCCGAAATGGCCGAGAGGTAAAGATTGATATATTGGAAGGTTATATACGGACACCAGAATGGTTCCGATAAGGTTCGGGGATTTTTCGGAGTACCGGGAGGCTACCGAAACCCCCCGGGAAATTTAATGGGCCTAATGAAGGAAATATGCCCTAGAGGCAATAATAAAGTTATTATTTATTTCCTTATATCATGATAAATGTTTATTATTCATGCTAGAATTGTCTTAACCGGAAACTTAGTACATGTGTGAATACATAGACAAACAGAGTACGTGTCACCAGTTTGGCTCTACTTGACTAGCTCGTTGAATCAATGATGGTTATGTTTCCTAACCATAGACATGAGTTGTCATTTGATTAACGGAATCACATTATTAGAGAATGATGTGATTGACTTGACCCATTCCGCTAGCTTAGTGCTTGATCGTTTTAGTTTATTGCTATTGCTTTCTTCATGACTTATACATGTTCCTATGACTATGAGATTATGCAACTCCCGATTATAGGAGGAACACTTTGTGTGCTACCAAACGTCACAACGTAACTGAGTGATTATAAAGGTGCTCTACAGGTGTCTCCGATGGTACTTGTTGAGTTGGCATAGACCGAGATTAGGATTTGTCACTTCGATTGTCGGAGAGGTATCTCTGAGCCCTCTCGGTAATGCACATCACTATAAGCCTTGCAAGCAATGCAACTAATGAGTTAGTTGCGGGATAGTGCATTACGGAACGAGTAAAGAGACTTGTCGGTAACGAGATTGAACTAGGTATTGAGATACCGACGATCGAATCTCGGGCAAGTAACATACCGATGACAAAGGGAACAACGTATGTTGTTATGCGGTTTGACCGATAAAGATCTTCATAGAATATGTAGGAGCCAATATGAACATCCAGGTTCCGCTATTGTTTATTGACCGGAGATGTGTCTCGTTCATGTCTACATAGTTCTCGAACCCGTAGGGTCCACACGCTTAATGTTCGGTGATGATCGGTATTATGAGTTTATGTGATTTCATGTACCGAAGGTAGTTCGGAGTCCCGAATAAGATCAGGGACATGACGAGGAGTCTCAAAATGGTCGAGACGTAAAGATCGATATATTGGACGACTATATTCGGACATCGGAAAGGTTCCGAATGATTCGGGTATTTTTTAGAGTACCAGGGAGTTACGGGAATACGGGGACGAAGTATTGGGCCTCATGGGCCAAGTGGTGAAAGAGAGGAGGCAGGGCGCGCAGCCCCTAGCCCAAACCGAATTGGACTAGGGAGCCGGCCCCTTTTCCTCCTTTCCTCCCTTTCCTTCCTTCTCCCCTTCCCCCTTCCTTTCCTCCCCTAGTAGGAGTAGGAAAGGGGAGTCCTACTCCTACCAGGAGGAGGACTCCTCCTCCTGGCGCGCCCTAGGAGGGCCGGCTGGCCTCCCTCCTTGCTCCTTTATATACGGGGGCAGGGGGAACCCTAGAACACACAAGTTGATCATTGATCCCTTAGCCGTGTGTGGTGCCCCCCTCCACCATAATCCACCTCGATCATATCGTAGCGGTGCTTAGGTGAAGCCCTGCGTCGGTAGCAACATCATCACCGTCATCACGCCATTGTGCTGACGGAACTCTCCGGTGAAGCTCTGCTGGATCGGAGTTCGTGGGACGTCATCGAGCTGAACGTGTGCTGAACTCGGAGGTGCCGTGCGTTCGGTACTTGAATCGGTCAGATCG